GTTAGATGTTCTCTGTGAGACAGACACGCCAATGTTCTTGCTGTTGAGCTCAGTCTGTCTCAAAAGGATAAAAAGCCCTGGCCAGCCGTGGGCAAACTACGGCCCGCGGGCCGGATCCGGCCCGTTTGAAATGAATAAAACTAAAAAAAAAAGACCGTACCCTTTTATGTAATGATGTTTACTTTGAATTTATATTAGTTCACACAAACACTCCATCCATGCTTTTGTTCCGGCCCTCCGGTCCAGTTTAAGAACCCATTGTGGCCCTCGAGTCAAAAAGTTTGCTCACCCCTGCTAGCCAGTTTGGTTCAGTGGATAGAGCGTTGGTCTGCGGACTAAAGGTGCCCAGGTTCGATTCCGGTCAAGTGCACATGCCCAGGTTGTGGGCTCGGTCCCCAGTAGAGGGCATGCAGGAGGCAGCCGACCAGTGATTCTCTCACATCATTGATGTTTCTCTCTCTCTCGCTCTCTCTCTGAAATCAATAAAAATTTATTTTTTTTAAAAAGGATATAAGTATTCTTCTGATGATACTACTATCCTTAAATAAAATATAGTGCAACTATAATTATTCCAATTTTAAGATATTGTTTGATGGTTTATTTAAAAGATAGCTATTGACCACTTCACACCCATTAGGATAACTGTTATCACAGAAAACAATAAATGTTGGCGAGGATGTGCAGAAATCGCAGCCCTTGAGAACTGTTGGTGGGGATGTAAAATGCGCTGCTGCTGTGGGAAATACGGCAGTTCCTTGGAGGGGGAGGGGGGAACATAGCATATAATGCACCAATTCCACCCAAAAGAACTGAAACCTGAGATTTAAGCAGATATGCAGGGTGTCCGCGAAAAGAAGTACACACACACTGTCTGTATTCTATTACATTTTGAAAATGGAATGTATTGCCGAAACCGGTTTGGCTCAGTGGATAGAGCGTCGGCCTGCGGACTGAAAGGTCCCAGGTTCGATTCCGGTCAAGGGCATGTACCTGGGTTTCGGGCACATCCCCAGCGGGAGATGTGCAGTAGGCAGCTGGTCGATGTTTCTAACTCTCTATCTCTCTCCCTTCCTCTCTGTGAAAAATCAATAAAATATATTTAAAAAAAAAAAAAAGAAAATGGAATGTATTCAAATAAACACTGCATTTATAAGTATTCAAGGTAGGTACATTTTTAGAAACACACTATACTAATCCGAACCCTAATGCTAACACTTGCGCTGGCCCTAACCATAACGCTAACCCTAGCCATAACCCTAACCTTGTGCCCTAGCCCAAGCGCTAGTGCTATTCCTAGCCCTAACCCTAGTCCTAATCTTTTTTTTTAAAATATTTTTATTGATTTCAGAGAGGAGGAAGGAGAGACAGAAACATCATTGATGAGAATCATTAATTGGCCGCCTCCTGGAAACCCTCTACTGGGGACCGAGTCTGCAACCCGGGCATGTGCCCTTGACTGGAATCAAACCTGGGACCTTTCCGTCCACAGGCCAACGCTCTATCCACTGAGCCAAACCAGCTGGGGCCCCTAGTCCTAGTCTTAATCCTAACCCTAGCCCTAACCCTAACCATACACCCGTGTTCATAGCAGCATTATTCACAATAGCCTATAGTTAGGAAGCAGAAGCCACCCCAGTGCCCATCAACAGGTGAACGGCATGTGGATGGAGTAGCATTCAGCCTTGGATGGAATACCATCCGGCCCTAAAGAGGAAACCGATACATTCTACGACGTGGATGAACCTTGAAGACATAATGTTAAGTGAAACAAGCCCGTCACACGTCAGCAAATACATTATGATTCCACCCACACGTGGTGTCCAGACTAGTCAAGTTCAGAGACGCAATGTGGAATGACGGCTGGTGGCTGGCCGCGGGGAGGTAACGTTTAACGGGATTGCCTCGGCTGGGGACACGGAAACACAGTCTGGAGAGCGATGCTGGGGACGGTTGCACAACAATGTGAATGTCCTGAGAGCCACTGAACTGTGCACTGAACAAAGCTTAAAACGGTAAGCGTGTGCATGTTTTATCACACACACACACACACACACACACACACACACAGGAACACAAATGTCACTCAAAAGAACTACAGAGCTGCTACTAAGGATGATGAAGGTACAGCCGTGAACAAAACAGTAAACGTAGTCCCTGCCTTTATAGAACGTACTGTTTAGTGGGGAGAAAAACAAAACTAAGAATTTAATACACACACGCTCCAGGGCACACACCTTTATAAACACAGAGTATCTTTTGAAAATACAGATGTGGCCCGGCAGGTGTGGCTCAGTGGATGGAGCATTGGCCTGTGGACTAAAGGGTCCCAGGTTTGATTCCAGTCAAGGGCATGTACCTTGGTTGCAGGC